AACATTACTTAAAATAACGTACACAGTTAAAATGGCAAAGAATGTCAGTAAAAGAATATTTCATAACATAAATATGTTATAATTATAATAACAACATCCAAATATTACACACATACAAAATAATACAAAAATAATCGTTTGGCAAAAACCATGGAACATGTAATGGGCGAAAATCAGCGTCATAATTGATAATTGAAAAAGGAAGTTTGCGGAAGACTACGGTACTAGGATTTAAGAAATCCCACCATGCAACTGGAGAATGGACATAATTAAATTAAATAATTGAAAGAAAAAAAAAGTTATTAAATGTCAAACCAGAGATAAAAGCCATGTCACCAAACACGTTTGCATCTTAACTATTAGTATTAAAATGATGAATTTGGTTTTGACATAAAGATATTGATTAAGTATTGTAACAAATAAATTAATCATAAATTGATTTTAAGAAACATACCGAAGATACTGTGAATTTGCATTGATAAATTAAAGATTCACATACAGTCAGTAGTACATTTAACGATAATTATAATTCTATTAAATTAAATTAAATTAATTGATTTTATAACAATAAGTTGAAGTAAAATGTTTTAAATTAATTAAATATTGGTTTGTTTTGTTTGAAAAGTTTACAAAAAGAATATTGCCCAGCGGTTCTATCATTCAATACTTATAAACTCACCTTAGATATGAAAATCGTATCAATTAACAATCACAATCGAGACGTAACTAATATTTTATGTATATTTTTCGTAATTAATATTATTTTTTAACATTCATTGGTTTCTAAACGAGACTGTTGAGTTTACATCAAGTTAAAACGCACTAAAACACTGATTTAAGATAAATAAAATCTATTAAGCATAATTAATAATAGTTAATGTATTAAGCGTAATTGTAAGGATTAATTAATAACTTAACTCAGATTTTATACACAAAAGATACGCGAACCTAATTAAAGCATTGAAGCACCATCAGTCAATAGTTTCAAGAAAAGACTTCACGCACGCTTCAGATTAAAAGGTAGTATGATCTACAATGATGATTAATGTTAACAATAAATAATAAACTTTAATGTTGAATTAAGATTAATAAATACTAATACTTCGCACCGGTCATCTGAGAGGCCGTGATACTTCCCCGGAGGAGCCTGTCTATTCACCCTATGCGGTGGTGACATCAACTAATAAAAACTCTTATTTACGTTCCCGTAGTTCGTGCCAAGCAACGCATTGTTTAATGTTCCATCACTTTCTACTAGTTAATATATTCATTTCCACTTTTAAAAGCACTCGCGATGCTGTCTCCGTTCCAACCGCACTACGAGGTCACTTCTGAAACACCGACACTCACAATCGCATGACTACAACCGCTATACTGTCAACTGTACTAGCACTCTTGAAACATTGACAGCGGTTGATATATTACAACGCTTCTGATAATTGCACCTTCATTGCTGTTGTGTCTTCAAACGGCCCATCAATCTGAACTCTCGCGATGGGCTGCGGAAGGGCTTCCTGTTTATTAAAATTATAATTGTTTTTAATAATGTTGATTTTCTATGACTACAGTGCAGCTAGAACTAATGGAAAGACGACATGGGACTTAAGCAAACATTCATAGACTTGATCCGTAGTCCTTTCCATGGGAAGGATTAAGTTTATTAAATTGCTTCAAAAATACGATTAGAACTTCTCACCGCACGCGATTCGTGTGGTAAAATGGTATTTTAATTCAAACAGGCGTGACGTCATGAACTCTCACTAAGTTATACCTTTCTTATTATAAATTGTTTTCTTGCGGTGCGATCGAATTATTCATTTTTCCTTTATACATTACTATTTTTTAACAATTTACCCACTTTATTTAAAGGTGGCAACGCATCAGCAACTTTACAGCTGTGCAAATGTCCATGGGTGGCGGTTATCACTAAACATCGGGTGAACCGCCGGCTCGTTTGCGCTTCACACATAAAAACAATCTAAACTACAATTTATTAGTAGGCACTTTTGGTGTCTTCTTCTTCTTTGATCGAATATGAGAAACTTTGTATACCAACTACCTATATCTTAGAACTATATAATAACTCACATCAGATTGTTTGTTGCCAGTCGTCTTTTAAAATTTGCGCTTTATCGTAGAGCAGGAGTTTCAGCCTATTCACGCTTGTCGCTTCCGCAGCCTTAGGCCAGGTGGTACTGAACAGTAAAAAAAGAAACTTTTCACAATATTTTAATACTAACAAGTCACTTTACTTGAGATCGGCACTTATTTTTTTTTATTAAAAGATCATCTTTAGTAAAAACATTTAATAAATAAATTGATAGTAAAAATTTCTAATTTGACCCTAATTAACGATCGTTATAAGTAATATGATATTTGTGTCTTTCTCAGTCACTGGCACCACTTTTAGGCTTTCCCTTATATTCGAATTTCATATCTTATCCTTTCTGGTCACACCACACATCCATCTCAGCATTCTCATCTCTGCCACGTGCATTTCTCTTTCATTCGTCTGTTTTGCTGACAGGTCTCACCATCGTCTTGTAAACCTTCCCTTTGAGTTGAAGAGGAATTCACGGGTCACATGTAACTCCTGAGACCTGTCGCCATTTCACCCATCCTGCATTTACCCTATTTGTGACATCAATGCCGCCGTCATTTTGAACCAATGGGCTACTTAAAATCGAAGCAGACTGGAAGCTTAACACATTTGATACACATAATTCTTCATCAAGCGCGAACGTACGGAGATAAAATAATCAAAATTTACATTTACTTGACCGTGGTCAAATAATGTTTTACCAGCTAGCTTGTCAAATACAAAACTAACATAGACAAGTAACATAAAGAAACATAGTTGAATAAACATCGATTTGATTGAATATCGATTTCATTGATGTACGTTATATTAGCTTAATTAACATAATTTAAATTATTTATATGTACATAGGAAAGCAATTGTTTTGTCGCCGATCAAATCATTGATTGGACACAAATTAATAGGTAATTATTGACTTACTATAAGAAGATTTGGCTCACCAATCTGGACGCTCGTGAAAAGCTGTGGTAAGTCATCACAGTCTTTCGCGACTTTCCAGATTGTTCAGCTTTTCCTGTTAGTTAAATACAGTTGTTTGCTTAGATATCAATGTTGTTTACTATAAGAACTTACACTAGAAATGAAATGTAATATACTTGTGTATGTCACCGATTTTAATGAAATTTTTTGGGTTTCTTCAGGTCGATTCAAGAAATGGTTTAGATTCATAATTTGGATCCACTACACTTGTGTGTGTGTGTGTGTGTGTATACACTAGCGGACCGGACAGACGTTGTTATACATATATATATAAATACGGGCCAGTACGAGGCTGCCACTCGAGAACCTTTCTTCCCCAACGGCTACGAGCTATATGGCCAGCCCATCGCCACTTCAGCTTGCTAATCCTCTGAGCCATGTCGGTTACCTTGGTTCTACTGCGGATGTCTTCGTTACGAACTCTATCACGCAGAGAAATACCGATTATTGCCTGTACAAATAAATCTCCTGCGACGTACTCAGGGGTCGATAAAAATGATCCCAAAAGCGTCCTGTAGAAAGGGCATGAGTTAAGTACTAAACAAGATAGAAAAAATATGTCACTGCACATTAATTTCCCACTTCTCAATTATTTTAGATAAATATTTGAGTGTTCTTTGTTAATAAGTTATAACACGAAATTGAAGCTGCTTATTTGAAGACATAAAAAGACGGAAATAAACACAATATTTTAATTCTACCAAAAATTTTACAACAAAACACGATCTCTTATTTAAGTAATTTTTCGGTGTACCGCCGAATAAAATAAAATACTGAATAACGACCAAACATTGGTTGCAAGTCTAAAAACTTAAATGTATCGTACATAGTTCATAAAAGTTAAAAAAAGTAAAATTTATCTAAATATATTTGCAACTGATACCAGATTGCTTGCGGTCAGACGCCGCGAAAGTGAGCGCTTTGTTGAAGCGTAGGCGTTTTAGTCTTTTCACTTAGACAGATACTGAATGCCATAATTTACAAATGTTCATTTTCAATAATGCAAAGAACTACTTAGACAGTACAAGAGTCCAACGCTGTACATTTCCCGTTTCGTTATAATCTATAAACTCTAACATTCTTTGACGGTGTTGTCTAGCGACCGCTCCCTCACATATTGGAAGGGAGGCACGGGGCTCCATGAAACGGCCACCGCCCCGTGCGGTGAGCGCCCCCACTGAACACGCGCTCCCCCCGTTCAAAACAATCCATCAGTTTTCAATATTGAGTGAAATTAACGAAGATTAACGAGTCACCATTTTACACACTAATAAAGGTATATACGTGACCGATTATTTACTTGATAAATATACTAACACACTTTCTGTACAGCTTCTAGTTGGTGAATCAAAAGAGGAAATATATCCATTTAATTCTCTAACTTCAAAACCCTATTGATGATTATCATCTACCTGAATCTATAGCTCTTAACCTGTTTTCGTGTAACGCTACAATGATTTCAATAGCAATGGCAAATTAATTGAGTTTTTTCATTCTGCAGAACAAAACTTACAAGTTATTTAAACAGTAAGTGTAATGGATACCTATTTGGGATCTAGATATTGACTTGAACATTTATTTAACATGAAGAAATTCTGTTAATCTGGTAATTAAAATTTAAATAGTTCCCGTTTAAATATATCGAAAACCAGAAAATTGTATTATATTTGATTTGTTTGAATTACCATTTGAATTTCATATAAATTTCCAGTTTAATTTACTTAATTGACATTGTTTAAATATGAGAGTTTCAAGATAGCACAATTTTTTATCTTCGATTAAAACATTGATTGGACACTTATTCACAGTTAATAATAATCATTCACAAGTTCTTTTGTTTAATTTATCGGCCAGAAAAAGAACAAAGCAGAAGTCACACCATCACATCACTACACTCACAACACCGTCAACTGCGCCATCACTCTTGAAACAGCTTAAGAGCTGCGATATACTGCAGCTGCGGCTTTCCACTTGTCACTGCTGTAGTGCAGAGAAGAGGAGCGGTGGTGCGTCGCCACAGCTGTTCACAAGAGTCCGGATTGTTGAGTTTATCCTGTTTATTTGAATACAGTTACCATGTTAGTGATGTTAATGTTAGTTTACCTTGAAAACACTACACGTAAAATGAACTGAAAAAAGTTATGGGAATATAAGAATCGTCTTTCATTTGCAATTTTCTAGCATTGATCCCCTCGACCCAACTTCCATATCTGTCATTTGGTCGTCTAGCTAGGTCATTTACGATATGTTTTATATAATTTCTTATGTTTTGAATAGTGTGGCGGGAATATTGTAAATTGAGTAAGTTATTACAACTTTATAACAATCCATTATATTAGATGATTACAGTATTGTCTACAGTAGTGCTACTCAGATACTTACGTTCTTAAGAAGACAGTGTTCCAATACTTTACTCGCTTGTTTAATGTAGGCGGCATTCAACGAGATAGTGACCTCAAATCTCCCCTGATTGAAAAATGTCAGCTACGTCTTCTAGAGGTAAAGCAAGGAACGGTACAACTGTGAAGAGATACTGCAGTAGATTGTTTGCCTGACATTAACAACACAAAAAAACTATGGTAGTTAAAATTCTCGTGAAAACTGATTCTTTAAATGTCATGTGAGATTCGGCGAAAAAAAATGTTACAATGAACAGTATCCTTATAATTAACAAACCAGTTAACGACGCCGTGAGCTGTTTCTGCAATGGTGTACGTGAACACGTCTAGGTATCCTGCGCCTGGACTAGCTCCAACAATTTCACGGAACTAATTCGGATCTACAGGGTACGTAGTCGTGTTCTATGGCAATCTTCAGTCTTCGAATCTTTATCTGTTTCTTTTTTTCTTTTCAAATTGTAGGCAATCTTGAATTCAACACTGTAGCGCAAATTACGACTTTGAGATAACGGTACTTTTCAATGGCACGTTTATAAATCGAATATTAATTCGAATTTTTTGTGTGAGTTGATTAATTTGTTCGTAAAAGTTACATGCGCATAACGCTTAGTAGCGTTTCGAAGTAATAACTATGTAATGAAATGTGTAAGTAATACGCATCGATTTGAATCGATACGTATTACTTATTTGAATGAGTCTCAAATCATAATGCCTCTTGCGATTCCAGTATTCTGTATTTCTTCGTTGTTCCATTAGTGTAATTCATTTTTTCTATCCATCGGTGAATCTTGTGTTGAATGTGATAGCTATTTTAGAATGACATGAAATTCTATAGAAGAATTTCATGTCATTTCAAAATCACTATCAGTGAAACATATTTATAAATTGAATTATACACATAAATGACAATATGGGAATCTAAATTCTATCTTAATCAGAGATATTAGCGCCTCCTTATTTCTAGTCCAATAAAGTACCCTTCAGTTAAGTAGACGCTAATGTTATGTTTTGAATTCCATAATTAATAAATTAGACTTGCAACGAATGACAATTGAGTCGCATGCTGATTAATCGATTACTGCCTCTAGAAAGAAATCAATTAAAATGATCTGAAAAGCAACTCGTAAAAAGGACATGAATTAAGTGCTGATTAAAATAGAAAACAAAAGTGGAAAATTATGGTTTTGAGATATAAACATCTATTCGACAGTTCTTTGTTTAATTCTTTTAAAACAAAATTTGATTATAACCTCTATGATTATTTATTTGAGGACATTATAAAAACCTTTTCTATGATATCAGTAATTTTTTTTTTAATTTTACAAAATATTTACCAACAACAAAACATCTTAGTTTTCGGTGTCGAGCCGAATTGGTAAAGAAGTATTAGAATACCAAAAAGGAATCGAACAATCGTTGCAAGTTTACAATAATTATTACATTCGTATTTAACTCCTGCCCAGTACATAAAACTACTTAGACAGTACAAGAGTCCAACGCTGTACATTTCCCGTTTCATTATAATCTTTAAACTCTAACATTCTTTGACGGTGTTGTCTAGAAACCGCTCCCTCACATAATGGAAGGGAGGCACGGGGCTCCATGAAACGGCCACCGCCCCGTGCGGTGAGCGCCCCCACTGAACGCGCGCCCCCCCCGTTCAAAACAATCCCTCAGTTTTCAATATTGAGTTAAATTAACGAAGATTACCGAGTCACCATTTTACACACTAATAAAGACATACAGGTGACCGATTATTTACTTGATAAATAATACTAACACACTTTCTGTATAGCTTCTAGTTGGCGAATCAAAAAGAGGAAAAATATCCATTTAATTCTCTAACTTCAAAACCCTATTGATGATTACCATCTACCTGAATTTATAGCTCTTAACCTGTTTTGGAGTTACGCTATAACGTTTTCGATAGTAATGGCAAATTAATTTAGTTTTTTTCATTCTTCAGAACAAAACTAACACTTTGTTGTTAACGGTGAATGTAATTGATACCTTTTATGGATCTGAACATTACTTCAATTTGAAATCTACTAAAACATTGATGAACATGAGTAAATTCTGTTAATCAAAGAGTAATTAAAATTGAAATACTTTCCAGTTATTAATATTAAATTAACATTGTTTAAATATGAGAGTTTCAAGATAGCACAATTTTTTATCTTCGATTAAAATATTGATTGGACACTTATTCACAGTTATTAATAATCCTGAACAACTTGTTTTGTTTAATTTATCGGCCAGAAAAAGAACAAAGCAGAACTCACACCATCACATCACTACACTCACAAAAGCGTCAACTGCGCTATCGCTCTTGAAGCAGCTTAAGAGCTGCGATATACTGCTGCTGCGGCTTTCCACTTCTCACTTCTGTGGTGTAGAGAAGAGGAGCGGTGCTGCGTCGCCACAGCTGTTCACGAGAGTCCGGAATGTTGAGTTTATCCTGTTTAGTTGAATACAGTTACAATATTAGCGATATCAATCTTAGTTTACTTTGAAAACACAACACGTAAAATGAACTGTAAAAAGTTATGGGAATATGAGAATCATTATCAGTCGGCAAGCCAGATACTTACGTTCTTAAGAAAGACAGTGTTGCTATGGTTACTCGCGTGAATTAACCTAGGCGGCTTTCAACGAGATAGTGACCTCAAGTCTTCCCTGACTGAAAAATATCAGCTTTGACTTCTGGGGGATAAGCGTTACGAAGTAATAAATGTAAAGAGAAGCTGCGATAGAAAATGTCTACTTGTTATCAAGAACATAAAAATCTCTTCAAGTACAATTTAAATTGAAAACTGAAAGTCTCTAAATGGAACGGGAGATTTGGTGATATCGCTGTTTTGCTAATGTCTTAGTAGTTTACAGTGAACATCTCAGTACTCTTACTTTTGACAGACCAGTTCCCGTCGACGATAGTTGTTTCTGCAACGGTGTACGTGAACACGTCAAGGTAACCTGCACCCGATTAGTTCTAAATATTCCACAAAACAAATCGGATTTACAGGGTACCTAGTCGTGTTCTATGACAGTCTTCGGTCCTCGATTCTTCATCTGTACATCTTGTCTTTCGTTTTATTTATTTTTAAATTGTAGGCTATATTAAGTGCAACCCTCGGCTACTTTTCGATGGCATGTTTATATCGACTATAATTGGAAATTTTTTGCAAGTTGATTAATCTGTTCGGAAAAGTTACGAGGCGTTTCGAAATAGTAACTATGTAATAAAATGTGCAAATAATGCGCATCAAGTCAATTCCTAATGCCTCTCGCCACACGAGAATACCGTATTTCTTCATTGATTCATTAGCGTTCACTAGTTTAACGTCATGATGTCACTTAAAGGTGAATTTAGATTTCACATTATTTGTTTTGTTACAGTTTAGACAAAATCGCCTTATAAAATTACGATTATTACCTTTAGGTATATTCTCTCTAATCCACATTTCCTTTCTTCGGTGTCTAAAACATTATTTTTTTTTAATATTTTTCCGACTGTATAATACATATATTCACTAAATCATATGATCGAAACATTGTCCCACTAAGAAAAATAACTTTAATAAATTAGTGTGAGTAACTGTAAGAATACTTGGGTTCGATGTTCAAAATACATACATATCATAGTAAATGTTAAATACTTACATTCTTGTGACAGAATGTGCTCTTTGATTTTTTATTTGTTCATTGTCATTCACGTAAGCTGTAATTATCTTCGTGGCAGCGAGGGTCTGAATTCGACGAAGGGCGCTCAAAACTTTCCTGGCTGTAGTAATTTTGGCCGTGTTCCCTGGGAAGAAATTCAAAGGACCTTACGAGCTAGACCGTGAAGAAGAAATAAAGATGCGATTGATATTTTTTTTTATATTTTTTTCTGTTACAATATATTGTAAGTAATAATTGAATTGGTCCCACTTAAAGTTTTTAAATCGTTACATAAAAAGACATCAAAATTACTATGTTAGTAAAATTTTACGTTTTTACAAGGAAGAAGTATTTGAATGGCATCTGAATCTTTGAGGATAGGCTGTTTTCATTATGTCAGCGGTGAAGTTGTCAAAATCCTTATATGGAGGGGTACACTGAAATGATCGGGAGTAAGAAAAACTACACGCACGGTATAGCCAAATTGTATTTTATTGTTTTTCGAAGTATTCTCCGTTCAACTTAATGTACTTTTACATTCGTGCAAATCAATCATTAAAACATTAATTCTATTCTGAAGTCGATGTTGACAAAATGGCTATTGTATGGTATGAAAAGAAAAACATCAGCTAAAGTGAAATTAAAAGTAAAAACTAAACACATAATAAATGCAAAGCCTGTTCAAAATAAAGTAAAACATAAGTAATATAAAAAAATAAGTATAGTAACAGCGTACTACAGAGACCGCCACGCGACCACACTGAATTGGCAGACTTCACATTTATTCGAAATATTTTTTTTGATATTGTTGCGAAAATATGCAGGTCTTCTAACGATATTTTCACCACTGACCACGTGATAAATCAGTACATAAAATTGAAAATTTCATTGGTGCTCGCACCGGAATTTGAACTCAGGTTGCCAGAGTTTAATAGAGGATACTGAGGTGTTAGTCACGGTTCTTAATAAAGATATCATCATCATCATTTCAACTTGTATGAGTCCTCTGCTGAACATAGGGCATCTCAATAGACCGCCACAAAAGATACAAAATCAAAATCAAAAATATATTTATTCAATAGACGCTTGCGCGCTCTTATGAATCGTCAAATTTTACATCAAAGATTATGTGTATAGGTTCGTAAGGTACCACCGGTTCGGAATGCGGTTTCTGTTGAGAAGAGACCGGCAAGAAACTCAACAGTTGCTCTTTTTCAAAAGTATCAGGGTACAATGGATACAATATACGAGTATATAAATATATTTACTCACATCAGATCGCATGTCACCAGTCGCCTTGTCATTTCAAAGAGCAGGAGTAGTATAGTAGTATCCTTTATGTTCGACGCTTCTGCACTGTGAAATGAGGTGGAGATGATTGTTCCATTAATTTCCACCTGCAAAATATAAAGTAGTAAAAATATATGTGTTACTCACTTATTAATTAATGTTAATTATTAACTTAATTTCAACATGTATTTAATATGATTAAACACATTTGCTGCCATTATTTATACATTAATACGTGAAACAAAAAAATTGTGGCCCTTTTTACCAAAATTGCGCTAAAGGAGGAGTATGACATTTGCCACAATTATAGTTTGTAGAGAAAGGGAGTGCTGAATGAAAAATGCTGATATTTTTTTTATTGTGCACAAAAATACGTTAAATCGATTAAAAGGATATTACACACTCTACCATATATAATTATTTATGATCGAGTTTTAACCACTAGGTAATATTTTGTTTAATTGTGATAGTAAGAATTTCTAAAATTAGGATGCCAACTACTTACACGAATCTGCAAGTTCTGAGTGAAAACAGCATAGAAATATCTCAGCCAAAAACTAACACTTACCTGATAAATAACGGCATTGAATGTGGGCCATTTATCATTTTCCTCAGTCTTCCAGTTCACTCAACCGTGAAATGTCGGCATGAACGCAGTCCTGACGAATGACTGATGGCTTGGGGGATATTTGACGAGCAAGGCATATCCGTACATCCAGGGATTCGGTGAGCAGCCGCGTCACGGCTTCAAAGTCGCTAATGCAGAGTGCGGATTATGGGGATACGTGCTTACTTAATACAACACGGGAGAAGTTCGGTTGAAAGGAACTGATGAATGAAAAAATTAAGGGTCACGGCGGCTCTCGCTGCACGGTGTCACGGGCTTGGTGTTAAATGCCAGCAAATTTTCCATGATTTTGCCAACGTTTGCACGGTATTTATACATTTGTCCACGGCGCTTTATGGTTAAAGGAACATTTTAAAACTGTAGAATTCTTTTTAATTATATTGAACGGTATTAATTTTTGAGTGAGAATATGAAAAGCAGTGCCGAATCGCCGTATTTTTATCATTTTGTTAAATTTAACCAAAACATTTGAAAACAGTGACATAAGATCATAGGAAATAAAACGCTCCCCCATATTCTGAAGGAGGCACAGGGCTCCATCATATTGCCATCGCCCTGTGCGGTGAGCGCCCCCACTGAACACGCGCTCCCCCCGTCCGCAATCCCGTTTTTTTCATCCGTGCACCTTCTTATCAAGATTACAGTTAATATAATAATAATATATTCATAATTTATCTTACAAAGATATGACAGGTACGATATATCTACTTCTAAAGTTATACCTCTTTTGGCGCATTTGAAAAAAAATTAGATGAAAGTAAAATTTTTTAGATGCGCGCGCACACCGATAGCCGAAAAGAGACATGATGAAGTTCTTTGCAAAGCGACTAACTTAACGATGCTAACATGGCAATCAATAAAAACTTTTTTACACGCAAGTATAGTTCAACGTTATTTAATAAAACCAGTATTAATTGCATTAATGTTTCTTTTCTCAAACAAGGAGTAAGTACTAAATTATTTAGTTATTTTGCTTTTGTTACGTTAGAGAGTATAGGCTGTATAGGAGAACGAGAACAAGAAATATTTGTACACATTTATTGAATATTTAAACATCAACTACTCTTTAAACATTTAAACATAAATTATCAGCCAATATCATGAGGAGGTCCAATTTAAGAAAACCACTGGCCAGATCTTAACCAGCCACGAGCACTCTTAATACGGCACTTTCCATACCGAAAACATGTATTAATTTTCTCATTCTAAGTACTTAAAATCCCTAAAGAGTAGTAAACACAACCATACATCTAGTAATTACTATCTTAAATCTAACACAAATAGTATGAATAACAAAGGAGAAATAGGCAAAGGGATACATTCTAGTTTGACTGTAAACAACATCCAAATATTACACGTATATATAGTAAAGAATAGCTTGCCAAACAATTATTTGATAAATAGTTTGGAACGAATTTTGGGCGAATGACGGTATCATATTTAAGAAACGAGGTTTGTGGCTACTTTATCTCTGGATAAACTAAATCCAACCTGGCCATGATCTGCAGCCACGTGTAGAAAAAACTGTATTAAATGACATAGATCCAGAGCTAAAAGCGATGTCGCCAATACGAGATATTACATGTCAATATTCACAAAAGTTATAAACATTTAGATTATTGCTTAAGTATATTAGAAGCTTTTGACACAATAATATTGATTAAGTACCTAACATTGAATGAAATTAATAAATTTTAAATTTCATTTTAAAACATAAAAAACAAATTCTTTGATTTTTGCTAAGGTTAATCATACATTAATTATCTATAGATTACCATAAAATATGGATTTCCATTGAATTTATATTTAAAAGTAATATTCATTAAATACAAAAATGTTACATATAATTAATATCAATTTGAAGATGATTTTTAAAAAAAAAATGAAGTAAAGGTCGTGAATCGGGTAAATAATCAACGTTTATAATCGAACACTAACTAAAACATCGTAGTAATCAATAATGAAGCTGAAAATATTTTGTAAAGTAGGTACACTGATTTAACATTGTTTGGATTCTAATTAAATTTTGGTTTAAATCAATATAGTCTTACCTGAGTTAAATTCATTTAAGAAGAAATATGTATTGATCAAAGAGTAATTATCAATTCACATAACTTTACGTCTAAATACAACAACGATTCCACAGAGACAACATTGAATTCACACTGATTTAATTAAATTATCCTTTGACACTAAAATACGTTATTTTACCAAAATAGTTCACATGGTTTAAATATTTAGTAGTTAATTGTAAACCTTAATTTTTAGTTTAGCAGTAAGAAAAATAAAACACTGTTTATAAAGATAACTTTACCATTTGCAACAACCGTATTGTTGCAGATGCTTTGTCATATAAATAAATTGGGCCGAGTTACCTCATTCACCAGACGAAAAGCAGAAGTTCACGCCTTCTACTTCACGCCGGTATTCCCCCAGTATTTCCTAGTATTTCCCCGGACGGATCTGCCCATTCGTGCAACGGGGAAGACTGTTGCGTGGCCCTAAAACAGCGGTAATTTGAAAAATTAAATATCCATTAAGATTATAAGCGAAAGTTATTGTGTTAAATTAAAAAAAAAAGAAGAATGTTTTTTTAACCTGGGACTCGACTTTAAAGATTTTAAATAAATGAAAATGAAATAAAAATAGTTTTTGTGGTGGTTAAAGATTTTAAGGTATTTAAAAAAAGCAACCAAAACCTTCCAAACTCTTACTGCTAAAGTAATCTAAAACCTATTCTGATCATTAACTATTGGGAAGAATAATCTTAAGATGCTCAATATCGCACAGTTAGATCAACAATTGGACAGTGGAATAATACACAGAGGTTCCTTACTTTTCAAGTCGGCTCTGAAATAAAAATGCTCTCACACAATAACCAGTTGCGCCATCTTGTTGCTACTTTACTGTCTCCTTAAACGCTAGGGGCGGGGCGTAAGGCTGGCAATATTTCACATTACATGATGACGGTGACTGATTTTGTACGCATGCATCGCTAAGGGAAAGCCGACCATATTTGTTAAAGACCTGAACGTCATTCAATACGCAGTATCCAACTATGATCTGCACTAATGAACATTGAGCTTCACCATATGATTATCCGTTCCCAACATTATGAATAACAATATGGCAGATAGAAGACCGTGAAATCGTACACAGATTAAATCATTTATATCGTTATTCATAATCCATAACTAATTAACTTAAAGATTTTTAAGTATTTAAACATTCCAAACTCTTACTGCTAAACTAATCTAAACCTACTCTTATCATTAACTATTGGGAAGAATAATCTTAAGATGCTCAATATCGTATAGTTAGATCAACAATTGCACAGTGGAATAGTACACAGAGGTTCCTTACTTTTCAAGTCGGCTCTGAAATAACAATGCTCTCACACAATAACCAGTTGCGTCATCCTATTGCTACTTTATTGTCTCCTTAAACGCTAGGGGCGGGGCGTAAGGCTGGCAATATTTCACATTACATGATGACGGTGACTGATTTTGTACGCGTGCATCGCTAAGGGAAAGTCGACCATATTTGTAAGGACCTGAACGTCATTCAATCGGCAGTATCCAACTATGATTTGCACTAATGAACATTGAGCTTCACCATATGAATATCCGTTCCCAACATTATGAATAACAATATGGCAGATAGAAGACCGTGAAGCCGTACACAGCTTAAATCATTTATATCGTTATTCATAACCCTTAACTAATTAACTCAAAGATTTTAAGGTATTTAAACAAAAGGCAAACAAAACCTTCCAAACTCTTACTGCTAAACTAATCTAAACCTATTCTGATCATTAACTATTGGGAAGAATAATCTTAAGATGCTCAATATCGTATAGTTAGATCAACAATTGGAATGTGAAATAGTACACAGAGGTTCCTTACTTTTCAAGTCGGCTCTGAAATAACAATGCTCTCACACAATAAACAGTTGCGTCATCCTATTGCTACTTTACTGTCTCCTTAAACGCTAGGGGCGGGGCGTAAGGCTGGTAATATTTCACATTACATGATGATGGTGACTGATTTTGTACGCGTGCATCGCTAAGGGAAAGTCGACCATATTTGTTAAGGACCTGAACGTCATTCAATCGGCAGTATCCAACTATGATTTGCACTAATGAACATTGAGCTTCACCATATGAATATCCGTTCCCAACATTATGAATAACAATATGGCAGATAGAAGACCGTGAAGCCGTACACAGCTTAAATCATTTATATCGTTATTCATAACCCTTAACTAATTAACTCAAAGATTTTAAGGTATTTAAACAAAACGCAAACAAAACCTTCCAAACTCTTACTGCTAAACTAATCTAAACCTATTCTGATCATTAACTATTGGGAAGAATAATCTTAAGAT